TAAATTTTATTTAGGAGTTTTTGCATCTATAATTCACAAGTGGCGAAGTGGTGGATCAGTAACTTTTGTTTTAGGCTATTTCTTTTTTAAGCGGAGTCTCTGTTGCCCAGGCTGGAGTGCAGTGGCATGATCTCGGCTCACTGCAACCTCCGCCATCTAGGTTCAAGCAATTCTTCTGCCTCAGCCTCCCGAGAAGCTGGGACTACAGGCACACGCCACCATGCCTGGCTAAATTTTGTATTTTTAGTAGAGATGGGGTTTCACCATATTGGCCAGGCTGGTCTCAAACTCCTGACCTTGTGATCTGCCTGCCTTGGCCTTCGTAATTGTTGGGATTACAGGCGTGAGCCGCCTCGCCTGGCCTTATGCTCTCTTTATGAGGTTTAGGTATTGATGTTCTACTTAATTCATTAAAAATTTTGAAGTTTTCACTTACTTTCTGTTTCTGAAGTAATTTATGTAGCACTGGAGCTACCTGATCTCTAAGGTTTGATGGAATTTGGGAAACTAGCTGGGCCAGGTACTTTTTTGTATTTCTTTGATGAAATTTGGTCTGTTTCAGCCATTTGTTAATTTTGATAAACTACATTTTTCTTGGAAATTACATATTTCAGTTAAGTTTTAAAATTGATTTTCATCGAGGTATACAAAGTGGTCTTTTTTTTTTTTTTTTTTTTTGACTTTTAAATTGTCCTGTCAGTAGTTATTTTCTCATCATGATTTCTTTTTTATTTTTTGGAGACTGAGTCTCGCTCTGTCACTCAGGCTGGAATGCAGTGGCACGATCTTGGCTCACTGCAACCTCTGCCTCCCAGGTCCAAGTGATTCTCCTGCCTAAGCCTCCCAGTAGCTGGGCTTACAGGTGCCCGCCTCTACGTCTGACTGAGTTCTGTATTTTTAGTAGGGAGGGGACTTCACCATCTTGGCCAGGCTGGTCTTGCACTCCTGATTTCAGATGATCTCCCAAAGTGCTGGGATTACAGACGTGAACCACTGTGCTCTGCCCCCATCATTATTTCTTATTTTGTGCATTTGTGCTGCTTCTTTTTCTTCCTTGATTAAATTAGCTAGTTCGATTTCCTCCTACCAGCAGAGAACCAGGATTTTAATGTATTCATCTGATTTAGTGTTTGTTTTAGAATATTTATCGGTTTTCTACCTCATTTTCTACTTTTATTTTTATTATTTCCTTTTTGTTTTCTCATGGTTTACTTTGTTCATTTTCTACTTTTTGGGAGTTTGAAATGCATTTACTTTCATTCTTAAAATTTTATTGATACAGGTCTTTAAAGTTATGAATTTTTCTCTGGTTACTACTTTAAGTGTATCCCATCGTTTTACCATTTTTCAGAAATTCTTTATTTTTGATTTGTATTTCCCTTTCACTAAATAGTTGTTTAGCAGAAAGCTTTTTACTTTCCAGGGGAAAAAAATATTTAAAAAATTTTTGTTTAGAAATTTCTAGCTTTATTGCATTGTGGTAAGAAAGTGTTTATATCTCTGCTTTATAAAACTTATTTTAAAAACTTTATAAATTTGACTATTACGATCAGTTTTTGTGGACATTTCATGAGTGTCTGAGAATGTATTTTCTGTTTCCAGATTGTAATGTGAAATATTGATCTGTAAGACCTGTCTTGCTGCTTGTGTTGTTTAGGTTATTTGTATTTTAACTTTTGCCCATTTGGCCTATCCTTAACTGACAGTGGTGTGGTAAAGTCTTCTGTTGTTGCTGTGTTTCTGTTTCTCTTGCGTCTCCTGTATTTTCTGTTTTGTATGAGTGGTTGGTGTATTATTTGGTGCTTAGGTATTTAAAACTATTGCACTTTTTATGGACTGAAATACGTCATTTACAGAACGGCTTTTGGGTAGTGTATCTTGCTTAGGGAGGCCTTGTCTGTCTGAAGATAGCTGATTTTCTGTATTTTCTTTTAATAATTTTGTAATTGATATTTATATTAGGACCTGTATAGTAGTTTCGAGTTATTTTTATGTGAGTAGGAGCTGTGGGGGTTGAGGGTCTAATTTTATTGTCTGAATGCATAGCAAATTGGCCTAACACCATTTCATAATAGTATGTCTTTTCTCCACTTCCTGGCAATGTCACCTTTTTTTTTTTTCTTTTTTATTATGTCACCTTTTTTTTTTTTTTTTTTTTTTTTTTTTGAGACGGAGTTTCGCTCTTGTTACCCAGGCTGGAGTGCAATGGCGCGATCTCGGCTCACCGCAACCTCTGCCTCCTGGGTTCAAGCAATTCTCCTGCCTCAGCCTCCCGAGCTGGGATTACAGGCAGGCGCCACCACGCCCAGCTAATTTTTGTATTTTTAGTAGAGACGGGGTTTCACCATGTTGACCAGGATGGTCTAGATCTCTTGACCTCGTGATCCACCCGCCTCGGCCTCCCAAAGTGCTGGGATTACAGGCTTGAGCCACCGCGCCCGGCTATGTCACCTTTTTTTAAAACCAGCATCCTGTATGCACAATATTCTGGACACTGTGATTCTATTGATCATTGTCTGTCCTGTGCCAGAATCAGACTTTTAATTATTATACTTTTATAATATGTATCAGTATCTTTCTTTTAAAATAAACCTTGTGGCTGTCTACCTACATTTTCCCTTCCACACGTCGTGTGTCCAAATTTATTTTCTGAAGATGGCTGTAGCAGCATACCCATCCCACGTGCTCCTCCCTATGTGACAGTGACTTCCCTCTGTTGAAAGGCTGGGCCTGTGTTTCCTTCAGTTGAATCTGGGTGAGCCTCTGACTGGGGCAGAAGCAACACTGTGATACTGGAGATGAAGTAATAAAAGATAATATGTCTTCTACTGGATTCTCTCGGGATGCTTGTTCTTAGAGCCCAGCCACCATGCCGTGAGGAAGCTGAGCAGCCTTGTGGGAAGGAAGGCTACCCAGAGGTGTTCAGCCTGTCCCAGCTGAGTCCTGCTGTGTGTGTTTTAGCGTCCAGCCTCCACGTACCGCTGATGCCAGGTGGAGCAGAGACCTGGGTCCCCACCATATCCTCTGTAGATTGTAGATCCGTGAGCAAAAGAAAGTTTTCAGTCACTACAGTGTGGAGTGGCTTGTTACACCGCAGGAGATAAATGGGATATCCATTGAAAAAGAGAAAGTTGGAGGCATTTTGATGAGGATTGCCTTGACTAAGTTGTTAATTCATTTGAGAAGAACTTTAATCATGAGTCATCTTGAATCAGGGAACATGGTATACATGTTTTTCCATTGTTTATGACTTTTTTCCTGCCCTTTCATTTCATAAAAGTTTTACATTTTTATTGTTAGCTATAGCTTTTGTGGCCATTTGGAATGAGACTTTTTTACCTTAAAATTGCATTCTAAGAGAGAGCCTGTTTCTTTTTTCAGTCTTATTATCATCCGTTTAAAAAAGGAGTAAGTTGATAATATTTGGGGTATTAGATTTAAAAGTAAAACTCTTTGTCGTGTTATTTGAGCAGTTGCTTTAGGATTTATGGAGTACATCTCACTCGCCATATTCTTCCTTCAGGTGACACTGCATTACCTGGCGCGTGCTGTTAGAACTTTGTGAACTTCGTGTCGTTTACTTTCCTTTTCTCCCTCCCAGCCTTTGTTATTATTGCCATACATTTTCTATATGTGTTAAAATCCCATAGTGCATTGTTAATATTTTTGCCTTAAATAGTTATGCCTCGGAGAGATTAAAAGTAGAAAAATAGGTCTTTTTTTTTTTTCTTTTTCTTTTGTGGCGGAGTCTAACTCTGTCACCCAGGCTGCAGTGTAGTAGTAAGATCTCAGCCCATTGCAACCTCTACCTTCCAGGTTCAAGTGACTCCTCTGCCTCAGCTTCCCAAGTAGCTGGGGTTACAGGCACCCGCCACCATGCCCAGCTAAATTTTTGTGTTTTTAGTAGAGACTAGTTTCGCCATGTTGGCCAGGCTGGTCTTGAACTCCTGACCTCAGGTGATGCGCCCGCCTGGGCTTCCCCAGGCGCTGGGATGACAAGTGTGAGGCATGGCGCGTGTGGACCCCTGAGTTGCCGTTTCCTTTGCTGTGTCTCTTCCTTTGCGCAGATCCAGGTTCTCCTCTGACCTGGATGTCCTTCTGGCTGAGGGTTACTGTCACCTTGCTTGTCATGCAGGTCTGTTTGATAAGTTCTTTTGGCTTTTGTACGTTGAGAAATTCTAGTTTGACAGTTTTTTTTTTCCCTTTTAGAACTTGAAGATGTTTCACATCTTTTGGCTTCTGTTGTTTCTCATGATAAATCTTTCAGTATTGTTTTTGTTATTTCGCATATAAAGGGACTTTTTTTCTTTGCATTTTAAGTTTTTTTTTTCTTTTTTCTTTTTTCTTTTTTTGGAGACGGAGTTTCGCTCTTGTTACCCAGGCTGGAGTGCAATGGTGTGATCTCGGCTCACTGCAACCTCCGCCTCCTGGGTTCAGGCAATTCTCCTGCCTCAGCCTCCCGAGTAGCTGGGATTACAGGCACGAACCACCATGCCCAGCTAATTTTTTGTATTTTTAGTAGAGACGGGGTTTCACCACGTTGACCAGGATGGTCTCGATCTCTTGACCTCGTGATCCACCCACCTCGACCTGCCAAAGTGCTGGGATTACAGGCTTGAGCCACCGCGCCCGGCCTAGGTTTTTTTTTTCTTTATGTTGGTTTTTAACAGTTTGATGATGGTATGCTTTGGTGCAGATTTCTTCATATTTCTTGTGCTTGGGGTTTTGGGGTTTATAGTTTTATTTATTTATTTATTTATTGGGATATGGCCTTTATTGAGCCTATCCACCAGAGTGGAAATAATGTCTGTATAAAATTAGATGTTTGCTATTATAACTTCTGCATCACAATTAAAATCCAAACAGTTTTTTTTAAAAACAATCAAAACCTACTACTTCAGATTCAATAGCTTCGTTGAAGCCACAGTAAACTTCAATATGGTTAAGACTTAAATGCAGAAATCTTGTTGGTTGGAAAGCTAGTTAAACTTCCAGCTTGCTCAAATAGAATTACAAAATGGCAAAATTGAGTTTTTCACAGAGGTGCAGTCTACTGTAATCAGTAGCACTGGGCACTGGTAGAGTGTTTGGAGTCCTGAGGGAGCAAGGGAGTCCAGGCTTCCTTTAGACAGTTTTCTGTTACACTTTCTCCCCGTCAGAGATGTGTGGGTGTGTGGAATGACACCGCCACTAGCAGCTGTAGCCTTGATAAGAGAATCCAACTCTTCAGATCTGTCAGTAGCAAGTTGCAAGTGACTAGGAGTCACACACTTGACCTTTAAGTCTTCTGATGCATTTCCTGCCAGTTCAGGTACCTTTGCGGTGAGGCACTCCAGGGTGGCTGCATGTACACCATGTGCACAGTGGCAGTTGTGCCCACATGTCCAGGACTGGTGGTCCTGGATTTCAGTTGTTGATAATACGGCCCACTGGGAACTGCAAGCTGGCTCTCTGCAAGCAGGAAACAGCCTTTGTCTTGGCCTTTCTGGAGCCCTTCCCAGCCTTAACAGCTAGCCATTTTGGATTCTGCTGAAGCTCAAGCAAGGAAGGCAGAGAACGGGCTGCTTGGACCCATGGTGAGATCCCACCACCCACCCCTTCGTCGCACCACGATTCAGGCTGCCTGGGTTATAGTTTTGATGTAGTTTAGAACATTTTTCTTTTTTGAGACAGGGTGCTACACTGTCACTCAGGCTGGAGTGCAGTGGTGCAAGCTCGTCTCAGCACAACCTCCACCTCCTGAGTTCAAGCGATTCTTGTGCTTCAGCCTCCCGTGTAGTTGGAATTATACCCGCACTATCATACCCGGCTAATTTTTGTATTTTGAGTAGAGATGGGGTTTTGCCATGTTGGCCAGGCTGGTCTCAAACTCCTGGCCTCAAGTGATCCCAGAGTGCTGGGATTCTAGGCATGAGCCACAGCTTGTGGACTGATGTAGAACATTTTTGGTCGTTATTTCCTCAGATGTTTTTTCTTCCGCTCCCTCTTCTGGGGACTCTATATATATGCATGCTGCTTGAAGTTCCATAACTCACTGATAATCTGGTTTTTTTTTTTTAGTCCTTTTTCGTGGTGTTTCATTTGGGTCCTTGCTGCTGCCCTGTCTTCATGCTAACCTTTTCTTCTGCAGTGTCTAATCAGCTCTTGTTTCACTTAGTATATTTTTCATTTTAGATGTTGAGGTTTTCGTCTCTAAAAGTTCCATATGGGTCTTTTTCTTAAGTATCTTCCATGTGCCTGCTTCGCTTCAGTCCTCTACCTTCTTCAACACGTGAAATAGCTAAGTGACAGTAGTTACTGTAACTCTTTCAGTTGCTCTGTCATTGCTGGGGCTATGTCTCTTGATTGATTTTTTTCCCTTTTGGATATAGCCTTATGATTTGATGGGTCTGGAGCAGTGGTCAGTCCAGGACAAATCATTCCTTCCAGCCGAGGCCAGCTGGCCGTGAGTTCCTCTGCTTCTCCAGACCGGCCCTTGCGGACCGCCCTGTGTGAGTGCTGAGCATGGGCGCCTCTGATGGTGTCTGCGGGTTTTGTTCCAGCTCTGGGTGGTTCCCGTACGCACTTACTCGTCAGTTCCCTGTGGAATACTCGAGGGCCCTGTGCAGTCTCCAGGACTCTCTGGTACCTCTCCTCTCCTGAACACAGTCCTAGGAAGTGTAGCTGTCCTGATCTCCCCAGACTCAGCTCTGTGTCCTCAACTCAGGAAGTCGGCCGAGCTTCTGCTTCATACCTGGAGGGCTTGCTGGGCTTGTTTCCCATCTCTAAGGGTTGCGGGGAGGAATCATTGTCCTTTGTTCCTCTGTGTCCATGGTCTTGAAAACCAGTGATTCGTGTTCCTTGGTTCTTGGTGTTGTGTGTGTGGTTTTTGAAATTTTGTTTTGAGACAGAGTCTCGCTCTGTTACCCAGGCTGGAGTGCAGTAGTAGGATCTCGGCTCACTGCAACCTCCACCTCCCAGATTCTCCTGCCTCAGCCTCCCGAGTAGCTGGGATTACAGGTGTGCATTACCACACCCAGGTAGTTTTTCATTTTTGGTAGAGATGGAATTTCAGCATGCTAGCCAGGCTGGTCTTGAACTCCTGATTTCAAGTGATCCACCTGCCTTGGCCTCCAAAGTGCTGGGATTACAGGCGTGAGCCACTGCGCCTGCTCTGTGTGTGTGTGTGTGTGTGTGTGTGTGTGTGTGGTGGCAGGGGGTGGGGTTGGTTTTATTTCGTTTGTTTTGTTTTGGTTCAGGCAGTGGTGTAATCCAGTCCTTGGATTACAGTCATCTTGGCTGGAAGCATTTCACTCATTGATTTGTAGTCTTTGATGGAGTATAATCTATTACTATCATAGTATTAATAATTAATATCATTGATTTGCAGATTGTTCTGAATTTGGCTTCTGTGGCCTCCTGAGATGTACTAATTCTTTGAGTACTCTTGAACACGGGGCATTCTGGGCTCATCCCCTTCGCTTGCTGCGTCTCAGGGCTCAGCCCTGGCTCCCTCCAGTGGGAAACTGTATTTAGAAATCAGGACCTGGAGCTGGGGAGGGCTTTGCTGGTGGGCTCTCAGTGGGCATGGGTGGAGAGCACATGTGTGCACCCACACATGTATGTGCACACGTTTACATCTGTTTCCATGTGTGGCTGCTTATGTATGTACATACACACGTATACATGTGAGCCCATTCCAGTCCAGCACTGCAAGGGTGATCCTGGCTTCCTCCCTTCACTACATGGAGGAGCCGGGCGCTGGTTCTCCTCCACATGCTTCTGATGGGAGGGATCACTCTGTGGATGACTGTCCTGTCACTGCTGCTCTGCTCCCAGCAGGCGGGTACTCGATCCTGCACTTGGCTGGCACTGTGCCTGTCACAGACTTCCTCCTCACTTCACTTGATCTGCAGTACCCTTATGAGGACATCCCTGTTTGGGTGTGCCCTTTGTGCCCTGCTTGGCCCCTGACACCCTGTGTCAGCCCCCAAATCCTTCATCATCTCCCTTGAGGCCTCACTTCTTGTTCTGTACTTCCCTCTACCTGGACACCTGGGTCTGGAGCAGTGGACACCCTCCCCACTGCTGAGCTCTGGTACCTGGGGGGGCCTACCGTCCTTGCCCCCTGTGGGCCTACCGTCCTTGCCCCCTGTGGGCCTTGATGCTCTGCCCTGGGCTACTGCCTCTGTCATGGAGCTGGAGCCTTCCCATCTGGCTCGGCTCTTGGGTTCTGCATGTGTTCCCCTCCCTGCTCTTGGGCTTTCTTACAGTGACTTTGTTTTCTTTAGAAACCCTTAGCCTCAGTGGCCCAGCGTCGTCCTCTTAAGAGTCACGGAGTCATTTTTATCATGTTGTTTTGTTTGCCCGCTGGGATGAGTGATAGGCTGTATCTTGCTAACCCGTTTTTCACAGAATTATGTGGAACTTCTTTGTACTCCCTCTGTCCTGCCTTATGCTCTGTGAGGTCTGTTCTGGAGAGTTCCTGCAAATTGACTAAGCAGATCTGCTCTAGTGTCCCCTCAAGGGATGTGGCAGCTCCCGCCTGGTCCTGGACGGCCTAGGGCCAGGACTCCTTCTGGGGCGGGGGTGGACAGGCGTCCAGGTGAAGGGCTCTTGGTGGCCCTGTAAGGGAAAGAGAGGCTTCTAGCAGCTCCTTGGTGGCTCACTTGTGACGTGTGGATGGGAGCAGCTGGGCGCTGTGCATCTCCTCTTGGGAGTAACAGGCTCTGGGCCCTGCCGGCCTTTTGGTTTTACTTCCAGGCATGGCACATTGGGGCTTCCGGCACAGAGCGGTTCACCAGTGCCGTAAAATCTATGCTTCGAGTCCCAGGAACTGCCGCTCTATGGAAAATGTACACTAGAGTATTAAGTTACTATTGGATATTTATTTGCAGAAAATTGAGTTTTCTAGATGGTTTTAATCTCAGGTTTTAAAGTAAAAAGTCTTTCCAGATTGTATATTTGTTTGAAATTTAAATCAGGATGTAGCGGTTTTTAAAATCAGGATACAAATGAGAAGTACTGCCTTTTGGAACTTTCTGTTTAGTTAATTAAACTAAAAGAGAAGCTGGATACAGAATTTAGGATTTAAGATTTTTTTTTAGAGATGGAGTCTTACTTTGTTTCCCAGGCCAGAGTGCAGTGGCACTATCTCGGCTCACTGCAACTTCCGCCTCCCAGTTCAAGCGATTCTCCTGCCTCAGCCTCCGCGAGTGGCTGGGACTACAGATGCACACCGCCATGCTTGGCTAATTCTTCCATTTTTAGCAGAGATGGGGTTTCACTCTGTTGACCAGGCTGGCCTTGAACTCCTGAGATAGGCAGTCTGCCCACTGTGGCCTCCCAAAGTGCTAGGATTACAGGCTTGAGCCACCACACGCGGCCAGCTTTGTGGAAACTCTTGATTTGCTACTATCTGCATGAGTGTTACTCAAGAGTGACTTCAAAGTTCAGAGAAATTAGGGCAGGACCGTGAGGAACTAGCAAAAGAGAAGGTACCGATTTGACGGTAGCTGTGAGTTACTGCTTCCACATCTTTTCAGTGCCTAACTTAGACATGAATTAAGTATCTTGGGTTTAGATTTTCTAAATCTCACTGGAATTGGACTCTACTGAGTGGAGTTGTGGAATAGAAGGGCGATGATAATTAATAACAGGGAAAGTGTCTGTTTTCCTGGTTCTTTCTGGAAGAGAACCAAGCTGAATGCCTTTGCATTTCTGCGGGAAGGGCCCTTTCTCTGGCAGGCATGCGCTTGGGCCGGAGTGAGAAGTGGGATTGATTTCTGGGACGACGCGGCTCTCTGCTGCCTGTCAGGAAGTAGAGCAGTGTCGCGGAAGCTGCACGTCACCTTCTTTCTGGGGCTTCACAGCTGTAGCTGCTTGCCTCTGACATGGCGTTTGCAGACTTGAGGTTGGGGTGGCTCTCGGGGGCACAGAGCTCAGGCTGTGGTGGAAGCTGCCAGGAGACTGGCCTGGGGTTCCTATGGGCAGTCCAGGCTGTGCCATGACCACCAGCTTGCCTCCTGAGAGCAGGGCACACCGCAGCAGGAATGCAGTCATGTGGTGCTTGGGCCCAGAGCTGTTGACCATAGTGGACCTGGGTTTTAAAGCCCTAACTTGGCCTAACAGATGGCATTGCTGTGGGCATCTCACTCAACCCTCTGACTCTCAGTCTCTTCTCTGGATTACTGGGACACTCACATTCCTTGGGGTTGTGAGAATTGGGGCCGTGCATGCCCATGTGCCGCGCTGAGCCTGACAGAGCCTGTCCACGGGCTTGCGAGGCCAATGGGCTTTGTGTTCAGCCTAAAACCCAAGGCTCTCCGGGTGCTTTCAAACCCTGCGGCCACTGTAGGCTGTTATCAGGCACATTTTCTGTATGAACTAGAGGGAATTGCTTAACTTGCTTTCACAGTGACTTGTTTGTTTTTAGGATACTGAAGTGTATAAAGCTACAGTAAAAGATGACCTCACCAAGTGGCAGAATGTTCTGAAGGCTCACAGCTCTGTGGACTGGTTAATAGTGATAGTTGAAAATGATGCCAAGAAAAAAAACAAAACCAACATCCTTCCCCGAACCTCTATTGTGGACAAAATAAGAAATGATTTTTGTAATAAACAGAGTGACAGGTAAGTGTATCCTCAATTTTACCCCATTTGGTTAATACCTGACATGGTATGGATTGCCGGCTTCCTGGGTGGTAATGATACTTACTCAGTGATCTCAAGTGAGTGTCCGTGGGGTGCCGTAAGGGAGACCTGGTGCCTGTCCTTGTGGAGTTCCTGTTCAGGCAGCCCAGGGACTCTAAGCAGTCATCTCCCAAGTGTGCTGCCTGGGAGGAGCGGGTCCTGGGCTCATGATCCTGGGGGGGCCTCTTGGTGGGTCCTTTCTGAAGACTGACAGCGGCAAGTCTTGCAGTTCTGTGTAGAACAGGGGACCTTAAACGGTTTTTTCTTTACCTTAACACTTACTGAGAGTTCCTAAGAACACAGGTTATAAAATGCTGACCTGACCCCCTTCAGAAACTGTAAAAGGGAATCCTGAAACTTTGGCAGTGAATAGATTGTGTGCGCTTTCTTTGCCTGAGCCCTGCTCTCTGTCCTGCGGTGGCTCACTCCCTTGCTCTTCAGTGGTGCCGTTGCCAGCCGAGCCAGCCAGCACCTTCTCTGTAACTGATGGTCTGCATCTCATAGTTTAGCTCTGGAACTTACACAGTGCCTGGGGATTCAGCAGCAGACCTGTACCCTGCCCTGGCGCAGCGGGTCGTTGGAGCCCATGGTCACCATGCTTATGGTGGTGAGGGTTCAGATGGAGGGCCCCAGGGTACTACGACAGCCTGCAGCCGGGCAGCTGGCCTACTCTGCAGCCAAGCGAGGCTCACACGGAGAAAGCAGAGATGGGCTAAGAAATGAAGGGCGCGTGGGAGTTAAGGGAGGAGCTCGGCAGGCAGTGCTGGGTGCAGCCTGCAGCCCCAGGCAGACTGAGCCCCGTTGTTCTGTCGTGTGACTCTCCAGGCGTCAGTGGTAGCTTTTCAGTGGGAGGAACTGTGGATGGGTGTCTTTTCCATGTTCCACACAATACTGGATACACAATGGTGTTCAGACTTGCTTTTTTTAATTGGTTTGAATTAAATAATTAGGTAGTTGAGCTTATGGCTGGCTCATCTTAGAGAATTTTCATTCAATTTGAACTTCTGGAAACTTCTTTGTAAGGTGTGTTACTCATAAATTAGTTAACCAAAAGGAATCAGCTTAGCATTTAACAAGATGCTACATGATTGAGTGTCCTTCCCCTCTCTGTGGTTCAAATACTAACATTTTTTGTTCTGAAAAGTGGACTGCCATGAAACCTGGCAGGAAGAGCAAGCACTGTGTTCCGTAGCCTACCAGGAACCCGGGCCAGCGTTGACGGAAACTGTGGCGCAGGGCTGGCCGTCAAAACCAAGGGGCCTGGGAGGTTTTTATTCATGTCACAAAAGAAGTCATATTTATTTGGGATTATATTAAGTAAACAAATTGGTGCTTATGAGGTCTGTTAGTCTCAACTTGTGAAATGTTTAAATTTTTGCAAAGTACCTATTGATTACTTTTAAGTCTGTGTTTATAATCTTTATCTAGTAATATGTTTCCGCTGAGCCCATTTAATATTAACTTGCTTTTTAATGTCTATCCTTTATACGTTAAATGTAATTTACTAAAATTTTCAACATTTCATCTTTGATAGGTTTAAATATACCTTCTACCATTTGATTTTTATTAATTTGCAAAGCCACCTTTTAACAAATCTTTTTTTTTTTTTTTTTTTTTTTTTTTGGCCGTGTACACAGGGTGCTTTATCCTCCACAGAGTGATGCATGCTAACATGGGTTGGGGTTGGGCTGATGTCCCATATGTACAGAACTGAATAAAGTGGGTCTCTGAGAAGCCCGATGTACCTTGATATGGAAAGGGAGATGGGGAAGATGGAAATGGACATGACAACCAGGGATGTGTTCAGTCCTGTGCTGGTTCTGGCCTGGAATGTAGGAAGATACGGCGTCTCTCACTGTGGTCACTTCCAGGCAGGGGATGCCTGCCAGGCTTGGAGGGCTTTCTGTACCACATCTTCCCACTGGGCATCCGATATCTCCCGAGCCCAGGCAGGAACCCCTGGCGCAGGCAGGCTTACTCCAGCCATCGTCCTTGTCACCAGCTCTACGAGTTCTGGGTCCATGGGAACAGAGCTGTGCTCCTTCCTCATCTCATCTTCACTCTCTAACGGTGGGTCTGGCAAACGAAGGCCCAGGGCCTGGATTCAGTCCTGGATGTCAGCAACTACATCTCCATCCCCGACTGGTGCCAGCTCCACCTCCTCTTGTTCAGGATCTTGGTTCAGGGGCTGGTAGGAGTAGCTAGCTGGGCCCGACCCTGTTTCCTCCTGTTCTTCCTCAGGCTCCTCACGGCTCCAATCCCCAGTGCCTTCTGAAGGGCCCTGATGTGGTCCCAGTTCCTCAGTCTGATTGGGGAAGATACACCCAGGGCCCATGCTGTCTCCCCCTAGAACTACCGTTGCCATTCTGGCAGGGGCTGCTCAAATCCCGTGGCCTTCACTCAGCAAATCTTTTTTATTTTTTAATGTAAAGAGTTGGGTGAGATTTTCATAAATTTGAATTTAATAGAGTCTGTATTGGCAATTTTTTTTTTAATATACTTTTTTTTTTTTTGACAATTGTTTCATTACACAGTATAATTGCTGGCCTTTGAAAATGTTCTAACACTTGGTCCTGAAGTGGCTATTTTTAACATTAATCTTGTGTTTTATTTTGATTACGCACACTACATGTTCATTGTAGAATTATTTGAAAAAGACAATGAGCAAAAAGAAAATGGATATTAACTCTTAGTATTTTGGTATGTATCTTTTCAGACTTTTTTATGCATACATAATACGTGTGTGTATTTTAAATTAATATCATACTATTGTATGTTTTTCGTACTTGCTTTTTTCACTCGATATATTGTAAAAATTTGCCATAAACTATAGATGTATTTCTAGACCCCCCCGTGTTAGTGAGTGGATAATATTCCGTAGTATTAATGTGCCGTAAGTTATTTATACGTCCTGCTGCTGGGCTTAGGTTATTGCTTACTTAGTTACAAACAGCAATGTTATGAATATTTTTCTAGCTCAGATGTTGTGAATGTCCTTAATTATTTCAGCATACCTTCCCTAAAGGAAAATTGCTTGGTAACAGGTTTTGTGCATTTTTCGAGTTTTTGCAAAGTGTGAGGCTGGTAGAGCAAAGAGTTGACTTGTGATTTGTTTGGGCCCGTGGCCATTGCGCTGGATGGCTGAAGCTACAGGCTAGAGACCCTTGTTCCACGTGTGCCTCCAGCCCCTGCAGTCTGCCCACCTGGGGGATTGCGCTGCCCTCCAGATGGCTCTACCATCCCTGACTAAATTCATTGTTTTGGGCTCTCCTTTTCTGAGTTAATGATTTAGGCTTGCTGTGACCTTCTGAAGTGTAGTTCTTTTTTACTTAAAATTGATGGTGATCTAGAAACAGTCCACGTTGCAGGGTCTAATAAGAGAGAGTATCTGTGTATCTGATTGATTTCTGGAAACAGTTACTGTTTCGGTGGTTGACATTTGTGTTAGTTTCCATTTCACTCGCCCCTGCAGGTATACAGGAGAATGTGTCTCTGGTTGAGAATAAATGTTGATAATTATATCAACATTGAGAATGCCTTAAGGATCAACTAACAAGCTCATAGGTCCCAGGAAGCTTCTATGGTGGAAAAGTACACGTTAGTCCTCTGGGGACCTTTGGAGTGAGTGGCTCTGGTCCCTTTGTCTTTCAGGGAAGAAAGTGTGCAGTGGGTGGATTGAACAGAATGAAAGCCAGCCACCAAGTTGTACGTTTTCTTCTTGGTTCTGGTTGTTCACGTGGTGGAACGTGTATAGTGGACACTGCTTCATTGTTTTGTCCACTGGTTTATATTCCATGAATTTAACGATCCCTCCAAAGGATATGCTGGGCATGGGGAAAAGAAACTTAAGAGTCAGTTTGTTTTGCTACTTTTTGGTAATTCAAATAAAGTATTTACTAAGGAGAACTGGTAAGCTCATAGAATCAGTGTTTTAAGATTATTTCTGAGTTCAGATTCATTCGTTATCTTTCTAAATTAATTACTATTACCAAGGCTAAGGAAATTTACATTTCTAGCCTGTCAGATAAATACATTACCCTGTCCAAATCTGTTGGGAACTTTGTGTAATTCTGTGTGTTTGACCTTTTTACATCATGGGTGCAGCCTCTTTGTAATTGAACTGTTTAGCCCTGTATGTTAAGCCCTGTTCTAAGCCTTGATTTGTTACTTGTTTATTAAGCCTCCCCTTGAAGAGCTCATAGGCTAGTGGGAGGGATAGAGGCACAGAGAAGGAGAGTGTTTCCCTGTGAGGCCTGCAGCCTCGCAGCAGTGTGGGCAGAGCAGTTGGGGCAGTGGTCGGGAGAGGTTCGTTCATGAGGATGCCATGCCTGGGTGGAAGGAATGTGCTCATGAAGAGAGGAGAGCGGGAGGTCAGCAGGCTTGGGCCCGGTGGGAGAGGA